TGTAGAGAATGGGGGTTCTTCCAGGTACGTTTTTATAGATATGTTACTTTTGTGAAAGCCATAGCTACAAAAGGGCAAGGTTTACAACAACTGCTGGAGGACCCCTTTGCGCCTTTGTCATAGTTCTATTCAGATCAAAATTTTAGATCTATGTATAAACGAAAAGGAACTCTTATTCGGATCTAGATTTTTTAGATTTGTAGATGATAAAGGTCTATGTTATAGCAAACACCCATGAACCTCAGTCTTAGGTAAATAAATCTCTTATTACTAGTTATTGAAACGACCCAAGCAGAAAACTCAGTGTTAGTTGTGGATAGTTTCTGGGGAACATCTGCCAATACATAAATTCTTTCTTTTTTCCTTTTTCTTTTTTTTTTTTAAAGCAAAATTTTATTTATGAGTACAAGGGTACTCAACCCATGGCAATAATACAATAGGATATAGCAGCAACAAGACCCTCAAACGGAAAGTTCCTAATTATCTACTGCTTACCAGCATAGATGAGGATTTAAGATCCAATCTGAGAAGACCTTCCTTAAAGCAATCCCTTCGTTAGACAACCATTGGAAAGATCAAACTTGGACAAATTCAACATGTTTTCAATGATTACGTCCTCCTATTGAATTATTTCTCATTCTTAATTAGCCATGTGCAGTCGAAACCAGCACAAACCAAATTGCTTTCCAACTCATACTCGCTTTTTTAGAAATTGAAGATCCCTCATGATTAACAATAGCAACCGAAATGTTTTCCAGCCAACACAAGCTGTATTCCCCACCAGTCATAACATTTATCCGATCGTTGTGAGGTTACCTTGACGGTAAAAACTAATGTCCACTGTCCGCTACATGTTCTATGGCAAAAACAACAAATGAGCTCCGCAGCATCCTTGATTATTCCCCTTTTAAACAATTAGTTTAAGTAGGCATCTTGTCTAAGATTAGTTGCCAATTAAGGCCACAAACGTTCAAGGTTATGTAATGGTTCTAGACTCTACCAAAAACCTGCCTACGAGTGAGGTTCTGAGAATACAACAACAAAGAGTAACCAAAATTTGAAGAGTAATACCCATCTTTGTTAGGTCTCCAGAGCCATCTGTCTTTCTGTTGATCCTTATTGAATCTGTAGCTTTTCCGGTAGCTCCTCCAACTTCTCCTTGTCTTGTAATTCCCAAGACAGCAAAGCCCGCCTCCATGTCAAGCTCCAGTACCATTTACCTTCTTGCTAGGTGTCCATTTGTTTTATGGAGTTATTCTTACCTGCAGATGGAAGGTAGAGCCTCGGAAAATGTTAGCTAGAATTCCTTCCCTGCACCACACGTCACACCAAAAACTAAGCTCTCCAACCATCTCCAACCATCAGCTCAAACCCACTGGGTAGCCAGTAGCCACCCTCTTTTTCTCTCTTCCAGTACACTCTAATCTAAAAATGTCTCGCCACGAATTTAAACCACTCCCTCTACCTTCCCTCAACCATGACATCCAAGGATTCCCATACTTTTCCTTAATTAACTTACCCATAAACACTCATCACCCTTGGCCAATTTTCCCGGCCGCTTACCTAACAAAGAAAGGTTGAAACATCTCAAATCCCTTTTTCACTTTTACAAACCATCCCCACCTGACTCAATGGACTTTCCTATTTTCCTCACCTCCACCCCTAGGGAACTCCCTCCAAATTTTATTAATGGTCCTCACAATACTTTTTGAAGCAAGGTAAATAGAAAAGAGAAACACAAGCATAGATTTGAGCACCAAATTCAGCAGGTTATTCTTTCTCATCAATATCATGGAGTCTCTTAATTCAATAGCTAGTATTCCATAATTCAAACTACAAAACACTTATTTGAATTTGTTACTTTAAATATCTTTCAAAATTTTATTTTTAAATTGGTTTTTTCAAAAGAAAATGATTAATACATCCTCCAATTTAACAAACCTACTAATACCCACTAATTCAGTAATTAAAATCTATAGCTTTTAAGTTTTCTCATTTTTAATTCAAATTTGAAAATAATAATTTCTTACAAAATGTGTTATGAAGTGTGTTGAATTGAAAAGTGTATAAATCATTTTCCTTTTTTTTTTTTTTAATTCATTGGCTTATTTTATTTAATATTGTGATTTATCAATTTTATTAAATTACTGCAGCTTGTAAATCATGGAGTAAGCTCTTCTATGTTGGAGAATGTAAAGAAAGGGGCTCAGGATTTGTTTAACCTTCCAATGGAAGAAAAGAAAAAATATTGGCAGTACTCAGGAGAAATGGGAGAAATGGAAGGATTTAGCAAGGCCTTTGTTTTCTCGGAGGAGCAAGAGCTTGATTGGGGTGATCTCTTCTTCATTGTAACCCAACCACCCCATTTGAGAAAGCCCCATCTGTTCCCGAAGCTCCCACTTCCGTTCAGGTTCTCTCTACCTCTGCCTCTCTCGAATGTATCTTTGTGCTGGTTGCTGGTTTCATATATAACTAATATAAACACAGTTTCCATATATAACTAATATAAACACACTATGTTACAATGAAATACACATAATAATCACTTGTAATCAAACAAGTGGATGTCCACTAATTCACACACACGGCTGTCAACTAAAGAAAGTTAATAATTAATTATGTCATGTAGGATCATGAGACTTTGTTATAAAACAACATTGTGGGTGAATTATTTTGCTCTTATGTTTTTAACTCTGCAACTTCTTCGTGTAGAGAAGCATTGGAACTTTACTCATTGGAATTGAAAAATCTAGCCATGGCTATCTTAAGAAAGTTGGCTAAAGCTCTTCACATGGAAACCAGCGAAATGGAAGAGATTTTTGAGGAGGGTTCACAGTTTATAAGAATTAATTATTACCCGCCATGCCCACAACCAGACATGGCCATTGGTCTCAGTCCTCATTCTGATGGTAGTGCTCTCACCATCCTCCTTCATGTGAATGAAGTAGAAGGCCTCCAAGTAAAGAAAGATGGCAAATGGGTCCCCGTTAAGCCTCTCCAAAACGCCTTCATTGTCAATGTCGGAGACAGTTTAGAGGTAATAAATATAAAAAATGCATATTCTTTTTTCAGTTAAATTAAAATTGATGTAATAATTAGGAAAAATGGTTGTGGGGTCGGTCCTTTCCAAGCTTCAAGTAGTTGATGAAGAGGAATTTTAGTTTCCTCGTCATTCCAAATAAAATTAATGACCATTACAAGGTAGCATTTGTTAATTATGTTTTTGTGTTTTTTTAGATTGTGACAAATGGAGCTTATCGAAGCATCGAGCATCGCGTAACAGTTAACTCTGTAATGGAAAGGCTCACTATTGGCACGTTTTACAATTCAAAATATGATGGGGAAATAGGGCCAGCAAGAAGCTTGATCTCTCAGGAGAAACCAGCATTGTTCAGGAGAATCACCTATGAAGAATACAGGAGGGTAAAGGTTGGTAGCAAGCTTAATGGAAAATCTCACCTTGATACCTTTAGATTGTAAAATGGCTAATTGGACTCAGGCCAATGAATGATGTAGTCATGTTTCATGCAGCAGTGTTATGTTGAATAATAAAGGAACATTGAGTCATACTACTATATAATCATCAAACATTGAAGGATAGAGTATGCTTTTTCGTTATTTTAAATACCCCTCAAGATTTTATTTTTAAGGTTAAAACCCTTTTTTGGTCCCTGAACTATTATACGGACCCTCGATTTGGTCCCTGAACTAAAAAAATTCTTGATTTGGTCCCTACTGTTTACCATTTTTACCCCGATTTGGTCCTTCCGTTAAAAATTGTGTGACGTGGCGTGTTATTTCACGGTTAGCAAATGACATGTCATATAGTAATCCACGTGGAAGACAATATAGCCAAAAAGTGATGACGTGGAAAAATAATAATATAAAAAAATATTATGAAAAATAAAATTTAAAATTTTTTTTCTTTTTTCTTTTTTTTCTTTTTTCTTTCTCCTTCTCCTTTCCCTTTCCCTTTCCCTTTCTCCTTCCCCTTTCCCTTCTCTTTCCCCTCACAAGGAACCCAGGCGCTTGGGTTCCTTCGAACCCAGGCGCTTGGGTTCCTTCAAACCCACGCCTGGGTTCTTCGAACCAGCTGGGTTCCATGGAACCCAACCCTGGGTTCCGTCGAACCCAGGCATGGGTTCAACGAAACCCAAGCGTGGGTTCTTCGAACCAGCTGGGTTCCATGGAACTCGACCCTGGGTTCCGTCGAACCCAGGCATGGGTTCAACGGAACCCAGGCGTGGGTTCGAAGAACCCAGAACGCTTGGGTTCTTCAAACCAGTTGGGTTCCATGGAACTCGACCCTGGGTTCGAAGAACCCAGCACGCCTGGGTTCGAAGAACCCAGCACGCCTGGGTTCGAAGAACCCAGCACGCCTGGGTTCGAGATGATGATGATGAACATATATATTTTTTCTACTGTGGGTTTGGTGTTTGATGATGATGAAGAAAGCAAGTCAAGGAAGAGGAAGGAAAAAAAAAAGGCGTTGTTTGGGTTCGATTCAACCCAGGTGCTGGGTTTGTTTAGTCAAGGAAGAAGATGATGGGCTGGGTTCTTCGAACCAACTGGGTTCCATGGAACCCGACCCTGGGTTCTGTTGAACCCAGGCATGGGTTCAACGGAACCCAGGCGTGGGTTCAACGGAACCCAGGCGTGGGTTCAACGGAACCCAGCACGCCTGGGTACGAGATGATGATGATGAAGAAAGCAAGGCAAGGAAGAGGAAGGAAAAAAAAAGGGCGTTGTTTGGGTTCGATTCAACCCAGGTGCTGGGTTTGTTTGCTCAAGGAAGAAGATGATGGCAAATTCGTAATTTTGGTGGGTCCCACTTTTGTTGAGTTGGGCAAGGACATGACATGTCACGTTGCCATGTCATTATTTAGTCATTTATATAACTGACGTGTCTCAAATGTTTGACACGTCATTAAATTGTCGTGAGATAACAGTGAGATTTTAACGGAAAGATCAAATCGGGATAAAAATGATAAACAGTATGGACTAAATCAGAGATTTTTTTAGTTCAGGGATCAAGTTGGGGGTCCGTACAATAGTTCAGGGACTAAAAAGGGGTTTTAACCTATTTTTAAAATGATTTTTTTTCCAGTTCAATGGCATATTTTCAAATTCATGACTTTTATCAGTTTCTCTAAATTACTGCAGCTCGTAAATGATGAAGTAAGCTCATCTCTTTTGTTGAAGAAAGTAAAGAAAGCGGTTCACGGTTTCTTTAACCTCCCAACGGAGGAGAAGAAAAAATCTTGGCGGTACCCAGGAGAAGTAGAAGGATTTGGGCAGCTCTTTGTTGGTATCGGAGGAGCAAAAGCTTGATTGGGCTTATCTCTTCTTGATTACAACCCAACCACCCTATTTGAGAAAGCCCCACCTGTTCCCTAAGTCTCATAATATATAGTCACTTAGTCATAAAAAAAATAATTAAATATATATTAATTTATGTATCTCCTTAAGTAAAAAAAAAAAAAAAATTACAATGACATCAGTTACAACTTGCATTAGAACAGATGAGCAAAAGACTAAAGTGTTAAAATATTCAACACGGACATTGGGATCTAGAAAGTGATGACATAAAAATCTTACGCGGAATAAATGGTGATTTTTTTCTGTGTATTATTATCTTATGGGTTAAGGCCATCTATCGTCCCTCTACTATCCAAAATAGTGCATTCTAAACCTTCTACTATGAATTGGCTTCATGTCGTCCCTCTAC